AGCCCTATGTCTCACTCACAACGTAAGGGAATAATAATAAATGAGTGGGAAAGTTTCCGAATAATTTCCTGTCAAGAGTCAAATTAATTAAATTACAATTAGGAAGTAAAATGCCATAATAAACAGGGGGACGGATAAAACTCAAACAAAGTAGCATCATAATTACTGAGAAGATGGACATATTGTGCATCGGTGGCACAGTGGTTAGGACTCTCGCCGACTATGCACATGGTCCGAGGTTTGATCCCCTGCCGGCGCATACCCGACATCTATGGTCGGCCTGCAAATTTGGGCTACCGATATCCATGCTGAAAGTTCCATACTTGTACTGAAAATACGGTGTGGAATCAAGCTGTAATCAAAAAATAAAAAAAAAGTAAAATAAATTGTGCAATTGGGGGTTAAAAATGTAGAAATAGCAAAAATATACAGGATGTTTGGATAAAAATCTAGTAGGATCATAACTGATGTGAAAAATAACTGTTTATGCAATCAGGACAGACAGGAAGTTCAGATATGAAAATATGGTAGTGGAAATGGGGATTAAGAAAAACTTGAAAATAACATGAATAAACTTCCTGTTTATTTTGTCATTTTACTATTTCTACATATTTAATCCCTGATTGCATAAACAATTATTCGTCACATTAGTTATGATCCTACTAGATTTTTTATCCAAACATCCTGTATATTTTTGCTATTGCTACATTTTTAACCCCCAATTGCACAGTATGTCCATCTTCTCAGTAATTATGATGCTACTTTGTTTAAGTTTTATCCGTCCCCCTGTTTATTATGGCATACTAATTCCTAATTGTAATTTTATTAATTTGATCATTGACTGGAGATTATTCTGGAACTTTCCTACCCATTTATTATAAATACACGAATGTACAGCCTAGTTGATGATTTCGTCGAAAAGAAAACTTTCTTCGTTGCAACTGTCTTCTTAATAATTCCTATGATCCAATGTGTATATTCCGGAATAATAATAATTATATTAATAATAATAATTCACAAGCATTGTAATTGCGTTTCATGCTACTGTTATTATTTATGTAAACATATATTATAAAGATACGATTGTACAGCTTGATAATAAATTCGTTGAAAACAGTCTCTTCGTTGAATATTGTGTTCTTAAATATTTTTAGTGTTTTAAATCATATTAGATATTATAAAATCACATAAAGGACTAGGTGAGATGATAGAATATTTCACTTTTCTCTCTTTTATTGTCTTATTTGAATTTCAGTAATTTAAATATGCCCACATTTAATCCAACTCAGAACAAGAATAATCTGAGCTGGCAGTTGTGGTTTCAATAATTTCGTCTTCGTCTCCAGGCTCTGAAACTAAAAATCCATGAATGCTAGAATACAATACCATCCATCTATAAAGGCAAATGGAAATTATGTCACAGTTGTTTGAAGGCCAATTATAAAACGTTTACGAGTACATTTCGATACCCAGTAAATTCACTTAGGAACATGTATCTCACGCAGTAGGACATGCTGACCCCACCTCACTAAGATTATGCTTTTACTCAAGTTTAGTAGAAACTGGCAAATCAGCAGGTTGTGAAAAGTCTAAATACTGATGAGGGTAAAAAATACTATCAGAAATCGTATTTTAATCAGCTAAAGCAAAGTGAAAAAGATAAATTATATGGATTATAGTGATCCGTATAGTAGCACTGACTTCACATTGGAGTTGAAAATCCGGATCTTATTTTTCATACTGAGTAGTGCTATTACCTTCACACAGACTTGAGAGTAATGAAAGCGTACCTTGCTTTCCCGATTCTAGCCTTGATATCCACATCAGTTCTATCCGCCTGTAGTTGAAACGACGCTTTCCAGGTAGGTAGGCAGGGGAGGTTCTTTCTTTCAGATTTCTCCCATTTATGCTGATGTTGTCTGTTGCCGTTGGCCAGAAGTCGTCACTACCTCTATTTTCTCTCTGTTCACTGGAATTCCTATCTGCTCTGGATGCTTCTTCTGCCAAATTGTTGCTTTTTACTTGCATATCTTCCAGTTTGTGAGAAATCAAACATATATCATAGGTGAAGTTCACATAATAATTAGGATACTGTTATAAGTCGCTTGAGATCCTAGTGGAACATGAGACTTCAACGACACGTCTCCATCTTTCCCTGTTCTGTGAAGTCTTCTTCTTTTGTCCCCACGATTGTCCAGAGTGTTTCAAACCCTCCTGACACGATATGCGGATAGTCTGTCGTTTGCTATTTGGGTTACACTCCAGCTACCGATTATCGTGGTGTTACCTAACGGTATCTTCAGTGTATTCCTATACACCTCTGTCTTCTACGGGATAATTTTTGAGCGAAAGGGTTCTTTATTGGTTGTTGCTGATTCTTTTTGGCCATACATGTGATCTTCATTATTAAGCTATTGAAGGCAGATGTTGACAAAATTCTTCAGCAGCCTGTAAGAAATACCTTTCTTGACACGCTGGCTAAGTTTCTGACCCATTTAGAAGAGCTAACTGACCTAATGTATGTGCTGAAAATCCGAATTTCCTTCTTTGTGCTAGGTGCAACATATTACGGAACTGGTTTCAGGATGATGAAAGTCTGTCTTGATTTTCCGATTCTGGTTTTAACATCTTTGCAATCGCCTGTAGCTGAAACGATACTGCCAGGATAAGTGAGAGAAATGACGCGTTTCCAATTTATTCAGCTGATAGTGGTTGGTGCTTGTTTTGTTAATGCTGTTGGTTGTCTTCATCACCTCTGTCTTCTCTGTGTTTGCCTTGAATCCTGTCTTTACTGTCAGTCTCTTCTGGCTGACTGATTTTCGCCTGTGAACCTTCGAATTTATGTGGCATTAGACATCAGTCATCCACAAAGTCCAGGCCTTCTAGAGTCTTCTTATCGGTCCAATGTATTTCTGTCTACTTGTACGGCACGGTCTCTCGTTTATTCCGATCCACCACAGTTTGGGACATCATGGCTGATAGTGGGAAACCAGCTTGTCTAACTCCTGTATTCACCTTTCGGGCTTGGCTGGGTTTTTCGTTGTGGATCACTCAACATATGACATTGTCAATAGAACTGACAAATGAGATTGATGAAGATTTGGGGCAATTTGGTATCTCTATAATGCTCAAGTTAATTCAAAAAATCTGGAATTTATTTTCTAGATAGAAAGTGAACTGAATTCCACACAATAATGCATTAATATATGTGGAAGCCTTTAGGGGTACGGTCATATTTCCATGGTGAGTATATGCCACCCACATATTGACTGTCATAAATTAGGATCAGGAGTAAACATTCTCGTGGTTGTTCATAGCTTCGCAGTCTTCAACAATACGCATCCATGGGCACATTCATCCTCACCTGGGATATTTAGTATGAGTGGATCGAAGTGGTCGAGCTTTTTTATAGGACGTTCAGCTTAGCGGCATCAACCATTCTAGATACTAGTAAATTCTTATACTCCAAAAATCTAACTTACCACGATCTGGTAACTCAAACTTTGTAATTGACCTCCTAGTCATAACATGATATTTAGTAATTTAAATCATTTGTCCTAATTCAATCTATCGCATTCTTAGGCGGATAAAGTTTATGTCTAAGTGAGTCGGTTGGTTTATATGCCACCCTTATTGCAATCTTATTAGGAATATTGTGTGCAGTTTACAATGCTTCACCTTTGCATGACAGTACTAATGAAGCTTTGACTTCCCTATTACTTATATTATTTTCAACATTTACATAACTGCTCTTATTTTTCTTATGAAATCTGGTTAGTACTTATTTACCAATTCAATTTTCCTGATTTATTTGATTTCATTTATTAAAATCCTCTGACTAACTAAACAGGTCGCTGCCGCGATTATGTTCCTCCTTTTTGTGAAGAACCCGTGACAGAAGCGTACCTCATAAAATTGGAAGGACGAACCTGAACGTCTTACGCTTGCGACCGGACAGGTGGAGGCGCATTTCTACTTAGTTGAGCTCGTTAATGCTGGTACCAAACCTGTGGTCTAGATGAGCTCTAAAACTCGAAAGGATAGAAAGGCACATGAATCTGTTTCAGTTGCGAGAAACCGTGACAGCCTTGCACCTGACGCTACTGCAATGCCTTGAGGATCAGGTCCTGGACCAAACGGTCGGACTGCAGTGGTCTATTGAGACAATCATCTGCTAAGGTCTGGGCGTTTGGGCCGAATCTGAGACTTTGAGCTGACTAGGAGATATTGTGTGGTGCATCTTTTGGTGCTCATAAAGTACCTAGTTTGTGTTTTGAGAATAATAATTTGCGGAGAATTGCAGTAAAAATAGCGGGAGGTAGGACTGGAATTCTGGCGCTCGCTGACGTTCACCCGTTTCTCTTTGTTTACATTTGTTATCGTATCTACGTGACCCTGTCTAACAGTGAACATGTGTGGTCCTTCAAAATTTGGAAGCTGTTTGCCTGAGCCCGGCACGCATTCGTCAGTGTTTCGCCTCATACTTTCACATGCTGCTCTCGTTCAACCTCTGAGCAGCGTTCTAAGTAATAGCCTCATCGCTGACGGATGTTGAACGTCGCCCAACTGCGCGACAGCCTCGAAGTCCTGCCCGAAGGCGTAAGCGTCACCAAAAGTATTTTTGTTAAAGACTTTCATCAACAGCTATTCTTCCCGCTAAATGCTGAAGATCAGTTGGCCAGAAGAGGATAAAAAAGAGGAACTCCAGCAAATAACCAACCAAGAGCCTATTGCCCTACAAATTTGCTGAAAGGAACGAAAATGGATAGCACACTATGGGGAGACTTTCCATTGACTTCGCAAGACAAGAAAATCCATTCAGTGGAACTCGAATAGGAAACTTCAAGTTCGGCATCCGAGAGGAAATGTGAGCTCATGGCTAGTCATGGAGCCAACTAAACAGGACTGCAGAGAACAAGATAAGATGAAGATATATAGCTGTAGCTGTGTGTTTCACCCGATACATTAATAATAATAATGATAACAGCAATAAAACATTCTACTTCAATTACGTATTTATTCATGAAATTCTTCTGACAATAACAAACTCATTATTTCTTTGTATGTCAAGGGATCTGAGTGTATCAACTAGGATTTATCAGTTCCCTGGCCATTTTTGTTTGGGATAATTTCATTGATTTACAACAAACATTCACTCAAGAGTGATTTTGTGATGAAAATAACACCAGGTGAGAAAAGTACAAAATCAGTAAGCTCTCTTCTTTTTCTGCTTCAACTTCCCACACTATGTCACTGTATCAAAAAGACTCAAGTTGGCCATAAATTCAGGATCCTGAAATGAATAAATAAATATATAATATATTTGTATGAATTATAAGGTCTAGGTAACAATTATGTAAGACAGAAACTTTCAATTGGGTAGAAGCTCTACTGAAATAATTTTCAAGTCTGACAACAGATTGATATCATTTGGAGAACCACTTAAACCCAGAGTTTACTGAATGAGTGTTTCGTCCTAGTCTGGAACTCTTCAGCCACACAATTCCTTGACCAGGTTATGAACTCGGGACCCTCTGGCTACAAGGAAAGCTCGTATACCGTCCACCCGGTGGACCGTTATCCAATGCTCCATGTGTCTCAACTTCTACTACTTCGTGATTAAATTGCAATCACTACCAGTGTCTCCACAGCCAACCTTCTGGGCTCCACCAGTCACGGCTTTTTACTAGGACTCTAAGCAGCTTCGTTCTGCAGCATTAGAATTACCTTCGATAGGTGGTTTGCCAGAAATCATAAATAGGTAGAATCTAGAATTCATCAGCCATTGGATCTAGTGGTCTGAGTGGTCTATGAGGTTTCCTATAAACCAGAAGTTCTTGGGTTTTGGAATCCAGGCAGTGGATGCGTGCTTCTGAGTCCCAAACTAGAAAGAAATGGCTATCTTGCAGTACTCTGTGGTTTTCAACCTCTTTCTTTCTTTAACTGATATCACTCTGTGGTCAATCTTAAAATCAAATAAAATTAGCAAATTGATTTAGGCGATATAGTTGATAGGAATCATTTAAAATCAACTAAAATTGATGTAGCGTCACGTTAAGACAAATTTCCTGATGACCAGAAATGTAGTTATTGGAAGGAAAAGGGTAAATGGTTGATGAAACATCTGGATAGCAAACACCAAGTATGGTCAGCATACGTAGCTATACATGAACTGGTTGATTGATAGGTACACTCTCATTTGGTCAATATTAGCAGCTTATCATTTATGTTCATAATCATTACTGGATGCTTAGAGAAAGTAATTCGAAGTTCAGCTATGATGAACGTTTTCTTCAATGGACGGGGCAATTGTGAATTCGAACATTTACCATGTTATTTATTTATAATTCAATCCTGATTTTCCAGTTGATTGAAGGGACCAAAATGTTCAGCCCCTAGTGATATGTCGGCTTCTAGTGCAGATGCTTCGACTGTGTCTCAGGATTAACTTGAGTTAATTTGGTTGATGGGAACACGCGTTTCGTCCCACTTGGGACTCGTCGTCTGGATGTAACTACATTTTCCAGTGAGTGATGGTGTTCCCATTGATGCCAGAATCCAGTACCCGTCATTTCAAGTGCCAAGGCAGAACATTTCGGTTCAAACAATCAACAAGAAAATCAAAATTAAATTAAGAAAACAAATAATACGTGGCATCCCTTGCAACTGTGATGTCTTTTGCACTCCAATTGGTTTAGTGGATTGGAATCGAGTCACAGGTATGACAAGATGCCTATTCTGGATTTCAGTGCCAATCAACATCCATTGAATACTTACCCTCTTGGTTTTACAGAGGAGGGAAAAGATCTACTTGCAGCTGTATTACAAAACACCTGATCGATTCGAGACACCGAGGCGTAGGAAATAAAAATGTCTTCAAAATGCAAAAGTTATGAAGATCCACATGTTCAACTCTGCAATGAGCACACAGAGGTAGTTTGTTCGGTCAGTGAACTTATAATTGGATCTAATGTTTCTTAGCGTTTGATGCGTAATTATTTAACATTTAAACTTTGTTTATTCACCTGTCTCACTGTTGCATTCTTACTCCTTTATGACACTAATTTTACCTTGACTGACTTTTAATTTTAGCTGAGCTCTACTCAGTTCTGTCAGTTACATCATATCACTTAATTTCATTAAATAATGTGATAACTAGTGTTTAGATTAGAAACCCACCTGTGTAGTAACACTGAGAAATTCATCTTTTGATATTCTGCCATCTTGATCAAGATCATATTTCTGAGAAAAAAGTAAAAAAGAAAGCAGAAGTTTTTAGTTTATCTTTTCTTAGATTTACGCGGAATATTTCTACTGAGCTTAAGATCTGAGCGGCTAGCAATAAATTCCCTGGAATTAATTATCATCATGAATGGACACCGTCAAGTAAAACGGCGGTATACTTTATCATCGGAGACCATGTTTTGGTTGATTTGCTGTCACGTTGTCTTCGCTGGAACTTTATGTTTTGGTTCTAATTGTGATTTGAATCAACTATATTGGGTTTCAAGTGAAACATACATCTTCAGTAGCGCATTTCCATCTGGCCTTAATCCCCACGGTCACCGTCACGTTGCCTCATGATTGACCGTAAGCCTCCATCTCTTCCTAAAACGACCTCCTCCGTATAACTTTAGGACTCATGTATTTATTGCACACTAGAGATGCATAGATCTAATCATCAATACTTATTTCTTTGCTGTCGTTAGAACGTTTTATGACTACGCGCGAGTCTAGGAAGTTGCAAACAGCTAGCTATACAATTAGACGTAGAGATCAATTTCCTTCGTTTAGACCATAGTGATTCGGTTTTGGTTATAACTATGGCTGCCAACATAGAAATTTATCCATGATTCCTTACGTGGACTGACCGACTACGTTAACTACACAGGTAGAAAACATCATCTACAGCGCTTACCTCTATGTGAAGTGAGTGAATGTATCTGTCTCAGTGGCAAAAGTTTTGAGCTATATCACCAAAAGTCTCTAGCGGTTGTTGGTTCTCAGCATCCCGAGAAACCTGATATGCTACACACTGCTTCGTGGCTCAGACTAGCAGTTACAAACTTCATGGATTGATGTGGAGTTTTGATTTGACCACTTCTGATCCTTTCCAAATCTATTCCGATGTCCGCTAAAAATACTCATTGAGAGAGCTAGTGTCTCATCATGCGCAACACCTGTCCAAGCCGTCGAGATTCGTGTAGCTTTACAATCTCTTTAACTGACTCTTCTTTCTTACCTATCACTCGAGGCCTCATCTCATTATTGCTCACCATATGATACCATTTTGGCCAAGTAAAGTGTATCTCTTGATATAATACTTAAGGGTAAATTCAGAAATTTTAGAAAGTGTAAGCAGAGTAGATATATTGATACCAAACGTATCTATCAAAAAGAACTAGTTATTTGACCTAAAGTTCAAATGCAAAGTCAATTAAAACAAACAGTACCGATACAGATCAAGACAGGGATATCAAAACCTCTTAAGACAATTTCACTTAACTCTGAATTAAGCTTTGAATATTCTGTCTAGAAAAAGACAGTGAAACCTTGACACTTTCACTACCGAGGTCAGAGAACACAAATACCATCAAAAAAGGACTACAGTATCTCCGTATCCGCCACTTTCTCCCATCCACCCCCGCCTTTTATTTCAAACATTCCGGCTAAATTTGAACAGTGTTAACATGTCCGCAGGAATCCAAATCAAACTCTTTTGCTAGTCATGACAGCTGTCATTAAAGTAAAACTTTTTACCTGAAATGCAGATCATCTGACATAAGGCTACAAGTAATCGCATAAGAGTTCGCCCTTTTTTTGTGTGCGTCATAGATGTCATTAAAAATTAAATGAAGAATGACAGGTTTGTGCAATGTTTCTATCCAGTCATTATTTCTAGTGAATTAGTTTTTGTGGCTACAAGAGCGACAGAGTTCTAATGATTTTTATCCCAGGATGATTATACAGTGCTTAGTTGTAGGATATCAAATACTGTTGCTACAATTTTAGTTCTTTTTACAGTGAAACATCAGTTTCTTTTTCCTCAATACATGGCGAAATTCAGTAGACTCTACTTCACACTGTATGGACAAGTTCACTGGCAGTTGTGAGGACCAAATGTATGTCTCATTGCAGTCGGAAAGAACATGTTCCTAGGTGGTTGATAAGTTATATAGAATGTCCCAAATGTTCTTAGTATGAATCCACTGGGAAACACTTACTAATGTTTGGTTACAAAATCAATATTTTCTAAGTTTGATCAGAGAATGATATCAGTTAATGAACCGCTGGAATACTAAACAGTGGGTTCTTCCTAGTTAATAACTCTTCCGAGGTTCCCACCCACAAGGACTCGAACCCAGGGCCCTCCGGTTACGAGACCAGCTCGTAGACCATTCAAGCACGCGCACCCAACTTAATGGTCAGCTCAAGAACTACATCTCCTACCAAATAGTGATGTTGTCGCGAACACCAATCACTCTTCACACCTGACCTGGTAGACTAGAGCTCTGATCAACTTCCTGTTGTAGCCTGTGACTGGCAAACATTAGACGAATATTCAAGAGTTGATGGTCACCCTAAAATAATGCACTAGTAGAAATCGGAATTCATGGGACATTGAGCCGGGTTTCAGTGTCTGTATGGTGTGTGACATTTACGTGCAACAGCAAGTTCCTGGGTTTCAACGCCAATGGACTGGTAGTGTCAAAGTGTCCCAAACTGGGGTGAAACAGTTGGCTGTTCAGTATTCCCTGGTTCCCCTATGGTTCTCTCCCTGATATCAATCCGTCATCAAACTTAAGACAGATGGAATTCCTACAAACACACTTTTGAAAATCAGTATAAGTTACTGTTTCTCAATTACTTCACATAATTCAAGGTTATCAAAGGTGATGGAGTGCCTTAGTAGTGCATTGGTAAAATACTCGCGAGCCGTGAACGTGGCCTGGTGTAAAAATCTCTGCTGAATGACTCATAAACTTCGACTTGTTAACAACCCAATGGTTAACGTTGAAAATGAGGAGTGATTGGACACTATGCTAGCAACTCCACCCAGTAAAAATATCATGGCTACTGAAACTCGAAGACATCAAATCTCAAGTCATGTGTTGTAGTAAGAAAATGAGGAATGAATCAAAGCGCCGGAGGAGCCAGTGATGACAGAGAACTGAGTAGAATAAAGATTTACCTCCAAAATCTCTTCTTTTAAACCAATTTTTGTTTACGTTGGATAACTTAGCTTGCTTTTCAACTATACTAGTATTGGTATGTGGATATGTAGATGATACTTTTGTAGTGTTAAAACGAGATCTACAGAATTCATTCCTGGAGAAAATAAAAAATCTATCTCCAACAATCCAGTTTGTTTCGGAAGCAGAATCAGACGTCGGTGAACTATCATTTCTGGACTGCCTAGTTAAAGGGAGAGAAAACGGACATTTTGGTATATTTATATTCAGGAAGAAAACCCACTCCAATAAATATTTAGACTTCGGATCATCACACCCCATCAGCGTAAGGGTATCAGTTGTTTCAAGTCTTCTTAGACGAGCGCACTATCTGATAACGGATGAGAAAGAAAAAAGAGAGGAAATATCAAACATTACTGAGGCTCTCAAGTAAAACAACTACCTGAAGAACTTCATCAACAAAATCGACACTGACATTACCTATGGTCGAAGACGTACTCTAAAATCATGGATCTCAACAGTTGTCATTCCATAAAGAGCAGACACGTCAGACGATATCAGAAGAGCACTCAGTAAGCTGAACACCAGAGTTTTCTTCAAAACATCAGACACATTGCAAAACAACCTTGTCCATATAAAACACTATAGTTTTCTTCAAAACATCAGACACATTGCAAAACAACCTTGTCCATATAAAACACCAAATCCCTAAAGATTCTCCATCTAATTGTGTATATAAAATAAAATGCTCGGAATGTAATGTTATATACATCCGACAAACATCTCGAGAAATCAAAATCAGAATAAATGAACACCGTAGAGCATCCGTTCGACCACTGAGAAATCCAGCTGAACTAGATAAGCCTGAAAAATCTTTAACCATAGGTCTACACGTTAGGCTATAGAATCAGGCCACAAAATTGATTCTGATAATATTAAAATCATCATCCATAAAAGCATTTCAGAAATCACAAAGAACGTTTAACATCCGAAGCACTTCATATCGAGTGGAATCCAAATTGTTTGAATAGGAATGATGGACTACAACAGAATTTAATATGGCTACAACACCTCTTTTCCCCATGAAGTGACAAAATCATCACGAATGTAATGAGTAATTTCACTATGTAAATACACGCTAGTTCTATAATTTCACACACTTATGAAATCCACCAATTTACACCTGTTTTTGTTGTCTTTACCAATTGGCGACTTTGATAACGCAAAAATGACCTTATACTGAGGAACGATGATTAAGTTGTTATATATAAGCTGAGATTTTGTAAATCCTGGTTTAATAATACTTTTATAAAGCTGTTAACAGCATTAAATACCTAAACATCAGTAAAAACAATATCGTTTTGTTTTTCATTCATTGGGAAATGCAAAAAGCCTTTGTTATAATGCATACTGGTTATAAGGCGATAGAGTAGAGTAACTAAGAAATGAAATAATTTCTTTGTCTTCTGAACGCCCACTTAGATCGTTGGGCGTTTTTTTCTTATTTGTTTGTTTTTCTTATTTATCAAAATACAACACAGCTACTACGAATCGGATTGTTTTAATGGTGCAAATACATTCATAGATCATGGCGTACTCTGGTGGACATTTTCTAAAAGGTTTCAACCTATTTTTATGAGTTTTTTCAAGGAAATGGGCGAAAAAAATTTAAGTTTATAGTGTATGTATTGGACAGAAAAGTATTACTTCAAGGGATGCATTCTCAATTATTATATTACTTGAGTCTCTTGCACCCCTTTCAGTAGAGCAAGTTGAAGATTCTGTGCTATGGTTTATAAAGGAACTTTTAAGAATAAAGCTGTTATTGTTATTAATAAATATCTGTTATCGAGTTAGAAAATTAACACGGTGAATCACGTCAATCTCTTGAAAAAACAATCACGTTATAAAGTGTAGGGTTCTATTTAAAGAGCATTTTTATCACTGTGTGTATTATACTACTTACTCTCTTTTGTAACACAAAAATATCGAAGCACATAGTTATCATTTGATATTAAACGGATCGCATGCAAGGTGACAGATCACATTGAAAAAGAAAACATGGAGTTAATCTTTTTCACTCAGAAAAAAAGTGAGTGTGATGAATGCCATAAAAAGATGAGTTCTCTTGGTCAGATGCTAGGTATGCTGATCAGGATCATAGATATCATTTGGAAGATCATATATCTGAGAAGCGATATGAAGTCCGTCATAAATACAGTGCTGCGTCTAATACCCAAAACTCTAATATTGACTTTAGATTCGAAAATAGAAAAATCCAAAAATGAGGAGGATGACGGGCCAAGTGGATATACGTGCTTTGGTGTTTTAGTGGTGGAATGCTCGCCAGCCGTTCATTGGGTTCGGGTTCGATTCCTGGGATGCACTTTCTTTAAACTTTGCTTAGCCAGCCTCAACCCCTGAGAAAGAGGGTAGGTAGAGTGGAAGGCTAACAAGCTCACTCCTTAAAAAGAAAACCTTTGCTGTAGAAGCAAGACAGAACACATGGTTGCAAATTCAAAGGAAGAGAAGTAAGTGACAGACAGTGAAGAACAGAGCAAAGCTTATGAAGGTGGAATGTTGACTTCGATGGCATTGACCGTTATGTATCGCGATGGGAATATACTTCCTTGTCATCAGTTTTGTCCGCAACACCCTCGTTTCGTATTACTAGAAATGTTTTACTTGCGAAGTTGAGACCGGAATATAAGGGAGTTCAGCATGCATTTTTTGTATTCTTCGCATTCAGAGTGGAACATACGGCTTCAAGCATTGAAGTTTCAGTAGTACTATTGCTGATTCTGTGTGGCGGATGTGTTGCCTCAAGCCAAACCTTGTCTCTTTTCTGAGTATACAGTCCGCCAGGTGGAGTTTAGGAGTACGTCTCCCGTAAACCTGTCGGTTTCAGAGTAGCCGCCATGTTCACTGCGACGCATTCAGGCTAGTGTCTTGGTCAATAGTAAAACTCTAGGGTCGATTTTTGTGTGAAGAGCATCAGTGGTACCGAAAAATAAACGTATATACTTATAGAACACGATTTAAGTAGATACGTATTTTGGTGATTTCTCACCAGGCTTTAAATTTACATAATGGCTGAATATTAGTCATAGGCTTTTGAATTAATTTGGCTAAAAAATATCAAGAATCAGAGTTCAAGGATGTGAATTAATGGATCACAATCGAGGTGATCACAATAATAGTAACAACAAGGGATAAATTCATTCAAGTGTTTATATAATCTGGGTAACGGTGTGTATATAGGTAGAATGTTCATATTAATTGGGTTAGAGGGAAAAATAACTATTATCACATAGCAATAAGATAATATAATAATGATAAATTGTGAAACCGGCGATTAAATGTACGACCACAGCACATCATGATATTGATAATACAATTACCCGGTGTCACCAGGAGAGGCAATTATTTTAGGTTGAAGGTGAAGGCCAGTGGAGGGAGAGGGAGATTGGACAAACGTTTTCTGAACACAGAGATTGAGATGAAAAATCTTGATGGCAACTGACTCAGTTATGCTTCAGCCAGCAACTGAAGACGTATCAACCTAGGGAGTTGAAGTGGCACTCTGTATAGAATTGTAAAAGATGGGTTTTTGTCAGTCTTGTGCTCCATGTCCACCAGGTGTGCCAGTTTGGAACTTCTGACTGACTTTTCGACTTCTCTACCTAACCATGTTGGACAATGCTCTGAAAGGTGACGGTGGGCTTGCCGAGTCGGTTTACCTATGTAACTGTCTCAAGATGAACAATTAAATTTATAAATGCATATTGAAATGGCCAGACTTTGTAGCTAATACTTTACCTGCGTTTGAATTATGCAACGAGTAGTGAGTTTTAAAACCCAGTGTTGCGGCTATTTTAGCTATTATTTTTCTAAGTTTCAATGCCAGCAAGTCATTTGCTGCATTTGAACAGTAAAGTCATATATATGCTTTTCTTATGCACAGTCTGCAGGCATTTCTTTCTATCTGTTCCACTCATCGGGACGTTAACAAATTTTTCGGGGCATCCGTACTCGTATAGAAAGTTTTCTAATTTCCTTATTTCATCGTCTAGAGTGTTGATTATGCAGATTTTCCCAGAACGATACATCAAGGTATTGATAAGATCTCGTTTGTATGCAAGATGGACAAACGACTTGAAATAGGTGTATTGGGCAACCCATTACGTTTTCCGGATAATACTCCTCTTAATACTTCCACCTCACCTTTTTATATGTGTACTCAGTCTTTGGGTGAGCAAGATAAATGTATCGTCCATATATCTGCATTAGAATGAGAGTATTCTGATTGCGTTTTTGAGTAAAAGATTCTACAACAATATATATTTATATACGCCAAATTAGGTAAGCATTTGATGATATTAGATGGTTTGAGACAATCGCCAAGAAGCCCCGCTCGACGTAGATTTCGTGCTAGTTGCCACTCACGAGTCAGCAAGGCGTATCTGAAACCAACTTGAAGGAACTCATGTCCTTTCTGAGATTCGAACCTGCGGCACCCAGTGATAGCTGCAGTCAATGACGTTACTACTGAGCTATTCGGATTATGGCACTCTGCACTCAGCTGTTTTCAACAACTTCGGCAAATGCTCCATCATGCGAGTAGACAATCGCCTTTCTCTACGAACTATGTATTTGTTGCCACAAACACACTCAAATTGATATACGCAGTTTGAAGTGTCTAGGATTGGCTACTGGTCTTTCCCAGATTGTTGACGGGCTCGCTTAGTGGTGTTAAGGAAAACAAGTTTTGCAGCATAATAAGTTCTCTTGATAGCTTTGTCAAGTCTTCGTTTGACTACTTCCTGTATATCATCTCCTTTGAATGGCAAACTGATATAGACAGATTTCTTCGGAACTGTTTGGATAGTTTTGCAGGGGCTAATTTCTTTAGAGTATTTATTTATGAACTTCTCACGATATCCATTCTTAGATAAAATATGCTGCAGAGCTTTTATTTCATGTTCAATAGTACTGTCAGAACAAATTTTTCGTGCTCTGTTGAACAGTGTTCTAACTAAATTCTTTTTATACTGAACTGGAACATAGCTCTTGAAATGCATGTACTGTCCTGTCCATGAAGACTTTCTAAATATAGGTCTTTCAATTGCGCCATTAGTCATTTTCGCTAGAAAAACGTCTAGGAATTTTATAGTATCGTTTTCCTCGTGTTCTATTGTGAAATTGAGATTCGGATGGCATGAGTTGAATTTTATCAACATGTCTTCAGCTTTTGATCTGCTTTCACAGACAAAAAAATGTCGTCAACATATCTTAGGTATACATGTGTTTCTTGTATATGTTGCTGCAAGGTACCGGCTTCTAGGCGTGACAAGAATAAGTCAGCGAAAAGTGTTCTTAATGCTCCCATTTGATGAATTCATTAAATCCTGCTTTATTTACCTTTATTGCTTGTTTTAAATTCGTATCGGGAAATAAATGTTTTCAATTCTTGACAGAATTCAGTCTGCACCAAACGAAGAAAAGGACTAGCCAGACACATCACACTAGTTACTGACTAGTGTTCAATCAAAGTAGATCATGATTAATTAATTCAATAAAAAAATATCAACACTTACCATAAACATTGCATTCACTCTATCTTCAATAGCTTGTACAGTATTCCCTGTAAATAATTTATCACCTAATAATTCATAAACTGCTTGTACAACTTCTTTCAACTCGGATCGACTAATATAACCATCTTCATCAATATCATATAGTGAAAATATCCATTTAATTTTATCCATATTTGAACCTCTAGTTAATTTTGATAGACCACAAGCAAACTGCTAAATTAAGAATAAAACAAAACCAAAGGAAAAAGAATAATACAATGAAGGTTGAAGATGAGGCAGTAACTCATCGAAGAAGACATTGCAAAATAGTCGCGGTATGTCGTGAATTGACAGAAGTTAGAATTCACGGGTTGGCCATTGGATCGTGCCCCAGTGGCTTAACGGTCTACAACCTAGCTTGCCTTGTAACCAGAAGGTCGTGGGTTCGAACTCTGGCGGTGGGTGAGCACTGATGAAGAGTCCCAAACTAGGACGAAACAGCTCTTCAGTACTCTCTGCAGGTTTTCCAATGGTTCTCTAACTGATGTCAGCTCATGATGAAATCCTCCATGCAAACAATGAAAGTTAAAAAAAAACAGCCTGAACTGCAAACAACTTATAATGTTGTTGACAACTATAAAATAGATGCTCCTGAGTGCATACAAATTTACGTATATCTGTGGGATCACTTACATTGTGAGGACAGAAAGTAGTAGGGCACATCTCTAATTATCTGAACGTGTGCCCACATCTCAAAATCTCCAAGGAACGAATCCTCACGATAGTGGGATAGTCAGGCATTTAAACAATATGGGTTAATGAAGTGGATATCGTGAAATCGCTTAAAATGGTCAGTAGACATAGTAGTTCAGCTGTCTTCATGTTTGTCGAAGCAATCTTTATCAAATGCCTGAAACCCGATTAATGCGTTTAGAAAGAAGCATTCATCAGTCTTTTGCTTGCCCACTTGGTCACTGGATGCATTTATTATCTCCTTCATTTGATTACGTGATCTTTTGATTAAACCTCACTCCCTCTTTTGATATAGTGTAATTTTGCTTATCTCTTGTTTCTATGATTTGAGTTGAACTCAGTCTGTTGTTACCCAGTTTATCAGTTACTCATCAGCTTACACAGCCCTCGTCTTTATTACGTAACTCCTTTACCACTGTATGCATACATTTACTTTGTATAAACTTAAACTGCCTGTGTAAAATCTATATAAGCATAATTTTCTGAGCACTGTTCACTAATCTCACTACTATCAACTGACGACATCACGTAAAATGTGCAAGTATGTTAAAACTTTTCTGTACATGAACGTGATAATTATTTATTTAGGCTGTAAGCTAGCAGCTGATGAGTAGCCAACAAAATAAACAATGATGGTACCATATTATTCTGCACAAACCAGAGTTGTTCTCGCTTTATTCAAATTCATTAAGGCGGAATAAATGTGTAAAATAGATTCTTGTTTATCAAATAGTCTGTTACAGTGCAAAGAAGCATTATCCCTTAAAAAATGACATCAGAAAGAATATTATAGTCATTCGACACTTTTTAGGTCTTGAATTCGACCACTGGTGAGGTCATGGGTGAGTACTGTTGAAGAGCCCCAGTTCGGAACGAAATAACTCTAGCATGAATTAATTATTTCCAGTGTTTATATGATGAATATACATTTGTGATCGAACTTGTATCTGGAATCCACTTTTTGGGCTCATTGTCTACCTATATGGATGAAGTTTTATATAATTCAGTGTACCGACCACTTTGCCAACTATTCTAACTTACGCTGCTAGAACATGTTAAGTCATCGCCTATCTTGTCAAACAGTACTCTGTGATGTAGGTTTAGGGTAGAAAAGAGTGAAGAGTGATCAAATAGAAACCTGGCATTAGTCAATGAAATTGTTTAACTGTAGGAATGTGTATACTGCCTGGCTAAAGCGGTCGTGGCGCTAATAATCAACAACTTGTATCTGTTGTCGGCTTGGCTGGAAAGGGATCTCAGTAACACAGGTGCATTTACTCTTTGTAATCACCCCAGATGCATTACATGTTCATGTTTCTCCATGTTTTTATTGCTTCCTCAGTATGTTCTTGTCATTATATTGCTTTGTGTGCTATATGCCCTGTTGCAATTCGGACTATTGCACTTTTATATAGAGTTCTATATTCAGACTGAGTCCAGAACTATAAATGTATATGGATTAAAGCCATACCTGGTTAATAAAATATAACCTGGGCGTTTCTCCATTTTCGAACAATACTTTTCAAAACAAAAATGGTCTGAGAGAAAGTGGGAACTAAAACTTTTCAGTTTCCCCACCAAATTTGGATAATAAACTGTAATTTCAATGTTAATTTTGTTACGAAAAGCATTAGTGACAGAACCATCGACAAATATGGTCCCGTTCGGGCTTGTTACTCCCTAACATCGCGTTCCAGTGATGATATCACAAGCGGCAGCCTGAAGGACACTTGAATTTTAACGTCTGTCGATTTGTAAAGAAATCTACGTTGAAATTATTCAACGTCTCTAGGAAACCCGAAATCTGTATATGAGTTTGTAGCTCATTAATCGCTAGAGACTGAATGTCTTAAAGTTCTAATGGAATTAACCATATTGGGTGTAAAGCTGGTGTTCATCGATGTCACTGGTTCGCAGTGATGTCATGTTATAATGAAATCGTCTTCCACAGTTAATTGAAATCCTTACAAATACCAAAAGTTAATGAAATTACAGCTACTTTTGTATAAGATTATAATTGTATTAATTAATTGCGCAACAAGTGTTATCTTCAAGTATTGATTTTTTGTGGGAATTTAGTTTGATTGGTTGGAGGATTTCATCAGTAGTTACTCTATGTCATGAATTGACAGAAGTTAGATATGATGGGCCATTGGATCGGGTCCCAGTGGCCTAATGGTCTAAGAGTTCACCTTATTAGAACAAGGTATATAAGGGAACATTTTCAATTAGATAATAATAATAATAGTGTGGTAAATGTTTTGAACGTCATTAATAACGATGATAATAATGATAACAAAATATTGATAATAAGGTTTATGCAGGTGGCACTAAGAATAACAAAGGTAATAATAGGTGTGTATATGTGGACAATTCAATAAATAAATTAGTTCAAATCTTAAAAGTTACATAGTACTCAAGGTCAAGTGGACAGATAATCAGAGTTTAAATAAATATCATAAAAGTACGAAGGAAATGGAGAATAAGAAAGGGTGGGAGGGTTTTGATTAGAATTTCACCTAGGCTAAGGAAGGGAGAGACAAAGGTAGAACAAACTTCTTATGTTTGCAAAGACTAGGATTGTTCTCTCCAATTCCCATAGCTTCAGCTATGTTTTTGACAGGCAGGTTCGAATTCCATTCTAAAGGCTCGATGGAATGCGATAGATAACTTTGAAGGCACTATTTCTGTCCACTTGGTAACCTCTATCAATCAAATGAGCCAAAATAGAACTTCTTATAGATTTTATTTAGCCTTTTTCCAACCATGAAGGAAGATGCTCATTAATGCGTTTGTTAAGCTGTCTAGTTGTTCGCCCTGTATAGCTCTCTCGACAGAAGCAACTAAATTTGTAGATACACATAGAAGTGGAACAGCTAGGTAGCTTGTATTTCGCTTGAGCAATCATAATTGGTCGGCTGGAAAATGACAAACAAAGGGTGGCGGCAGTACAGGTCCGTTTTATTGCTGTCGATAACCTCAGATGTAAGACTTCACTAGCCATGTCCCCATTAAATTTCAATTTCATGAACAGTTATTTCTTTTTAAAGGTTGTCGGTTTCTCTTTACTGTACCTGGTGTTCATGTGTCTCCTTACAAATCTACTGGGATAAGCCTTTTGGATATATCCTAACTCATTTTCTATGGAGTCATCTGTACAGATTCGTCTTTCTCTATTCTTGAGGCATCTGACCGAATTCATTTTGTATCGGATTGGTACAAAACTGAGGAAATGTCTATATTGTCCTACATATGAGCCACACTAGATCGCATCAAAATTTTACAAACAGATATCCTGTCCCTGATAAAAACACAGGTGATGTGCAGTAGAAGGTGATGCGGAGTTCAAATCTCCGCGCACTGGGGTGAGAATCAGTTCCTTTATTGGGGTAGATGAGCCTGGCTTATAAGTGCCAATAAGCATGAAACCTGGATGCGAGGATCAGATTGTGAACATAACCGATACACTGCAGTCATTGGCAACATTAAGGATTCAACACATAACACTGCTTGCTCTTTAGTGACTGATTAGTGTAAAATAGTCTCTGTTACAATGGTCATTTCATCAGTGTATATTTCGTCACACGCCAACGTTCGTAAGTGATCAGTTAAAATATGTGAGCATTGGACGGTATTTTTTTTCTAGTTCGGGACATTTTAGCAGTCCGCACTCATGACCTTATCATGAATTGAAGCCGGCGTCTTCAGGGCACGAAACTAGGTTCATTAACCATTAACTGGACAGGAATTCAACTACCATAGATTCAAACGTTCTCATAATCTGACGCTACCTTTAACGAGTGCTTTCCATGAGCACCCATTTCATCTTGACATGATGAACTGCACTGGACACAACTTCAAAGTACAGCTGCAAAGTGCATCTATTCAGTAGCCACCAACTAGGTTGAGATAGATATTTCAACTATCAAAACCCAAATTTCCATAAAACTCAAAATTAAAATTTTATTGCATCATTTCACTGAGGGGGTAATTTCAATAAATGCATTTTTCTGCATTTCGGAAAGAACACCACTCATTGAAGTAGCTGTCTGAATTAAAACATCAAGATAACTGATTTTTAAAATTCGACCAATTAAATAAGCTTACCTCAAATGTTAATTCGCCTGATCGACGTTTATCAAAAACTCGAAAACATAATTGAGCATATGCACTGGATGCTAAACAAATGTGTCGAGAGACAGAAGGAAGGAAGAAACAGTGAAAAGTGAGAGTTTATGATACCTGACTCAGTGAAACTGGCATTCTCATTGCATAAGTGTAATAATTTTATTCTGTTTTTCTGTCGCACTGTATGCATTCAAAACTCACCTGATTAGTCAAGGACATTGGAATGCTGACCAGGTACGCAAGAGATTCGGAATCGATATTGATTTGATTTTGATTTACAGCTTGATTCCACACCGTATTTTTAGTACAAGTGTGGAATTTTCAGCATGGATATCGGTAGCCCAAATTCAGGC